CCCATCTGACACACCACCCCACACTCTGTCTCCAGCATTTGGTTAACATTTCAGCTGATTTGTTCTTACTCGAATGTACAGCAAACACTCCTTCCTCCCATGCTTTGCCCACGTGAGCCAGTCCACACATACCCCTCTCCTTAGAGGGGCCTGATCCTTCCTTGGAATTCAGTTTCTAGTTTGCTTTGCAAACTCAGCTCCCTGATAAGTTCAAGAAAAGTTATGATCTTGTAGTTTGTCTGGCCTTTTTCCCTTGTTAGTCTGAGAGTGGCATACCTAGTTTTCTACCTTCTGGGAAGAAGCAGGAATTCTTGCCTGGTCTATTAAATAGCCATTGAACTGGTCCTCTCACAGAGGACCCCACACTACCCATTCCCCACACTACCCAGAGGGACAAAAGTCAAGTTTGATCATGACATGCCTCGCCTTAAATCCTTTTGGTGGCTTCCTGTCACTCTTAGGATGACCAAAATCCCTCATGAGGCCTACACTTGGCCCTTGCCTACCTCTTCTGCCTTAATTTGCCGCCATTCTCCCTTTGCTTTCTGAACGACAGCCATGAATTTGTGCTCACTCTATTCCCTCTTCCCCTGCTGCCTCTCTCCCCTTTGCCAAGTTTTTTCCTATTCATTCAGATCTCAGATCCAACTCCATTTCCCCAGGGAGATCTTGCTTGACCCAACCCACCCCCACTTGTCAAGCGTTCGCAGATCACCCTGAACTTGGTAGCACTTACATCTCTCTCTAATTAATTCATTAATGCCTACCTCCCCAGCCAGTCCCGCTGCAGGAGGAAAGGGACTGTGTTTATTTATCCATGTGTCCCTAGCGGCTAACACAGCACCCAGCACCTAGCTCAGTAAACGTTTGTTGCTGTTGTGATTAAACCCAGACTAGGTGGCACCAGCTCAGGGGCCCGGCTTGTGTGAACCTGGTTTTCTTCTGTTCACTGCCACCCTCTACTGGACCATGGAGAGCTGGGGAAGAGAGACACAGTGGTTTCTGGGGAGTGACAGTTACAGCACGGGCTGTGACCAGCCTCACCCTGAGTTGGACTGGGTGTCCAGGGGCCATCCTGCTGCCACCTGTATTGTTCCAGAAGTTAGATGATCTTGGAAAATGGCCTGGACCACCCTGAGTCTCAGGCAAGTTCTGACGGATAGAAGTCCCCCTGGTAAAAAAATGTTTGCATTGCTGGAAATAGCAAAAAGTTAAGAAGTGAAGACACATCACACTTCATTTAAGTGAAGTTATTAACGGGAAAAGATTCCGGGATGCCGACCGTGCAAAATTACTAACCAGCTCTTTCATGTTTACAGTTTTGATAGACCATCTGAGGCTCTTCTTTCCTGTGACTTAACATGCTTCCGTGGATCTGAAGACATAGTGAAGGATATGGAAGGTGAAATTATTTTCATAGTTTGGGGTATTTTATTGAGATATTTACTTGATGATTTCCAGCTAATGTCAACTAGTAGGTACCGTAATGAGTTGAAAATTGGCCCAAGTTTTATTTAGCATAAAGGGAGAGATGTTGGTCGTGTGTAAAATGAGAAGATACAGGTGATACCGCAGTATACTGATAGGTCTTAGAGAAATTAAAAATGCAGGACTTAAAGAACATGAGACCTTGGAAGTAACTCTACCACTGGTGTCAATTCTTAGAAAATATCTGGAAGTAAATCTTTTGTTGGTGGGGCTGCCATTTGTTGTTACTAAACACAATTTGGTTTATTTTTAGCCTGGAAAGATGTAACCAGTGGAAGTGTTGATATTCATGTGCTTCCAGGAGATCACTTTTATCTTATGGAACCTTCCAATGAGACCTTCATCAGGAACTACATAGCCAAGTGTCTAGAACTAACGATGCTTTCCTCGTTTTAGGTATTTTTCCTTTCGGTCTTAAAATAGTCAAAGTGATTATATGATACTCTTCTTGATTTTTCATCAAGTTTTGATTGTTCATCAGTTTTATTTAGAGATTTGAAAATTATATATTTGCCACTGTCAGGGTGATTTGTTATATATAAGTGTATTCTTCACAGAGCATTTATGTATCTGGGGACACAAGACAAATGGGTAAAGAATACTTCTGGCAGCGTCCTTTATTATCCTAGCAGAATCTCACTTGAGTATCAGCTGTGGGAAGGTTGTCAACAAAATTCTTGCTTGGCAAATTATCCATTTTTTTCCTTCAATTATTTTAACAGTGAAAACGATAGACAAGGAAATGCTAGAAAATAAACTATTGTTCCATCAACACACTGTGGCTCAAAGCTTGATCAAATTTTTTGAAATGTAGGCTTCTCTCATTTAATGAGAAAATGTACATACTCCTTTATGAAAATAAGACAGTCCTGAATGGTCATTGTCGTCTGTGCTGGCAAGTCCTCAGAATGCCCATAAGTCCTGGTCCCCTTCTAACGGGTTCCTCCTACACTAACCATCTGTTGGCTCTGGGTGGCCCTGTGGCTGCCCTGACAATGACTGACTGGGACCCAAGGCGAGTCCTCCCACGGACAACCAGTCTAGTGTCTGGCCCTTGGCGTATGGCGTGGCCAAGCACACCTGCCATGCCTGGTATGCTGCCTCAGCCTTGCTCTGTGACAATCTGATGTCAACATAAGGAGAAAGCAGAACAGTTGCAAACAACCAAGAGCAAAAGGGAAAGAATCAGATATAAGAAAGCTAGCCGAGTCAGAATAACAGCAGAACATTCACAAAGGCCTACCGATGGGAATGAAGAGCACCGTGTCCCTGGAGCCACATGGATCCTGCACCCTCTGGCAATTCCCGAACTCTGTTTGTCTCTTCAAATCCTGGCTGTTCAATCAGATATCCTGATTTCCTGACTTCCCACAGATCTTCACAATAAACTCCACTACTTGATGCCGCCGCCATCTCTTCCTTATGGCTTAAACTGCCTGACACAGCATAATATATTAAAATGTTAACTTTTAGAGCATTGATTTGTGTATGATCACGATATGGGTTCATGTTTTTGTTACTATCTAAAATAATATACATACAGTCTCAGTAAATAAGATGAAGGGAAATGCATACAGGAGGTATTTTTCTGAATTTATCATTCCTTTTTAACAAACCATAAATAATATGAAATTTATTATGGGGGGAAGGCTTTGTGTTAGAATTCATGAAATAAATTTGGGCTAAAAATAGTCTCAAGTAATTTATGTTAAATGTGTAGTATGTGCTGTGCTTTACTCTTCGGTTTGACATGATTCCCAGGGCTCCCTTACAGAAAGACTGGGACAAAAGTAATTTGGATTCATGATTATTCACTTGAAAAATTTTTAGTTAAGATAGTCTGTACATGGGAATCTCATGATGTAGCCAATGCCAGGCTTTTACAGTGGGCTTTCTTGCCAGCCTCTCCACCTGGTGGAGGTGAGTCCACATGGGAATAGCTCGAAGCATTTCCAAGCCCTCGACTGGAAGAGAGCAGACCTCTCATTGCTGCTGTCTTCCCCTTGTTGGATTTGGACGTTGACTCCATCGTGGAAGACTTCTGACTATCTTTAGGCAAAACTTAGCAGAGATGAGAATCACCTTTACTTTCCAAAATATTCCAGATTAGAAATCAAGCTAGATTTGTTTTTAAATTTTTTATTTTGAGATAACTGTAGATTCACATGGAGCTCTTAGAAATAATACAGAGTTACCCAGTTTCCCTTAATGGTAACATCTTGCAAAACTCCAGGATAGTATCACAACCAGGATATTGACATGGATACAGTTAAAATACAGAACTTTCCATCATCCATCACCACAGGATCCCTCCTGCTGCCCTTTTATAGCCACACCCACCACTCTCCTCCCTGGCAATCACTATTCTGTCCTGTCTATAATTTTGCCATTTCAAGAATGTTACATAAATGGGATCATACACTATGTAACCGTTTAGGATTGGCTTTTTTTCACCCAGCATAATTCCCTGGAACGTCATCTAGTCAATCTAGATTTTCTAAAAAAGTGAAATGAAACCTATCCCTCTGGTCACACCATATCAAACCTAAACCCTTATGCAGATCCACTGTATTTTGGGATATTTACCCTATGGAATCTCAAACAGATTTTAGAACTGATAAAATGAGTCTAACTTCTTTCAGAGAGCCTGTGAGTCTTCACCAGCAAGGAATACTGAGAATTGGGCCAAAGTGATATTCCAGAATCTCTATTTTCACTCTGATAAAACTGAACATAAGAGGCACAGCAGCTGTACAGTTTCTTATCAGTAGATACTACACTTCAGTTTGATTTTTTTATTTGTCTTAAATGTAAAAATTTAAAGAAAAATAGTTGATAGTTCCATGATGGCTTTTTTCTTTTTTCAAAAAGTTGTAGATAGACTCATAAGTTTATTAACCAAACTTTTTGGCTTATTTGTTGTTATGTTTTATATAGCATTTGCTTTAAAATTAAGGTAGGATAATTACAATTATCTCATTAAATTCTTACAACCCTGTGAGACGTATTTTTTTCCCTACTCTATAGATGGGGCTGGGCAAGGTTAAGTAACTGTCTCAGGTCACCTAGTAAATAAACCACAGAGAAAAGACGGGAACCAGGTATGTTTGTGATTGCCAAGGCCCTGCGTCAGTGTGCACCCAAAGCTACATGGTATGACCAAGGAAGAGTCTTGTCATTGGTTCTTAATAAACTGTTGTGATGACACCAGTAGTACTAACTCATTGTAGAAAAACAGATGAGCCAAAAGAACAATTGTTAATGTTTTTGTGCACCTACTCCCAGAGCAATATTTTTTTTAAGAACTTGCAAATTAAATCACCTGGTTTTAGCCAGTAAAATTTAGTTAAATATGTAGTTTCAGCATACCTCTAATGAACGATTACAATTCGTGTCAGTAGCGAAAATATATATGATACGTAAAGAGTTTCACAGTGCATTTCCCTCCTAAGTGTTAGGTCAGGATACCAGTATGAAGGCTTCAAAAGGAAAAATGTCTCATCTGCTGAATTCTAAATTCCATATTTTTCTATCAGCTCTTTTGCTTTAGAAATATAGGCACTCATGGCATCTTCCTTTGACAACCCTAGAAAGATACAAACAGATGATCTCACTGACCGATGCACTGGGAAATTAAGAAAGTTTGTTTAACTTATCGAAGAATTGGCCACCTTTTTGGAGGTTCCACGCTTCCCATTTAGCCTTGCCTTTTAAATCTAACATTGCTGGACACTCTGCCAAAAGAAGGAGAGATATGGTTTCAAGTTTACTTTCCACTCTATGCTTCTATAAACATTGTTCATACAAAATATATGCCATTGTTTTTAAAATGATAGAATACCAATATCAATGTCTCCAATTATGGATTGTTTGTAGAGCCCGTAGAGGTCTTTCAGTTCTTCATCATCCGGCCTCGTTCTCAGCTTCCTCACGTCTCCTGAGACCTTATCAAAATCAGCCTAGAGCAAAAACGAGAAAAAAGACACACATGCATTCACAAACTTTCAGCAGGCCCAGCTGTCTGGGGGGCATTTACCACCAAGCAGTGGGAACTCAACAAGGAGGAGGGGGTTTCACACAGCAATGAACAATTACTTCTCTGGTTCCACCAGAATTGTCCTAATTTATTTTAATTCATAGACACCCCTCCCAGTACTTAACTGATATAGAGACAAGATATGCACTACATAAAATTTTTAATACTGAAAATGTTCAATTTATCTGTTTAAAAATTGAAGAGGACACAAATAAGTGGAAAGATAGCTTGTGCTCATGGAACAGAAAAATCAGTATTGTTAAAACGTCCATACTACCCAAAGAAATCTACAGATTCAATGCAATCCCTATTAAAATTCCAATGGCATTTTTTCACAGAAATAGAATAAACAATCCGAAAAGGTGAAATTTCAAAAGACCCCGAAGAGCCAAAGCAGTCTTGAGAAAAGAGGACAAAGCTGGAGGCATCACACTCCCTGATTGCAAACTATATTACAAAGCTGTAGTAATCAAAACAGTACGGTATTGGCATAAAAACAGAGTCATTGATCAATGGAACAGAATAGAAAGCATAGAAATAAAGCCACGCAAATATGGCTAATTAATTTACGACAAAGGAACCAAGAATATACAGTGGGGAAAGGACAGTCTCTTCAACAAATGACAGGAAAACGGGACAGCCACATGCAAAAGATGAAACTGGACAACTATCTTACACCATACACAAAATCAAGTTAGAATGGTTGAAAGACTTGAACATAAGGCCTGAAACCATAAAACTCCTAGAAGAAAACATAGGCAGTAAGATCCTTGACATTGGTCTTGGCAATATTTTAAATACTGACACCAAAAGCAAAAGCAAAAATAGACAAATGGGACTACATCAAACTCAAAAGCTTCTGCACAGCAAAGGAAACCGTCAACAAAATGAAAAAGCTAGCTATGGAATGGGAAAAAATATTTGCAAATCATATATCTGATAAGGGGTTAATATCTAAAATATATAAAGAACTCATACAACTCAATAGCAAAAAAATCACCCGCATGGACACTTCCTCCTCTTCTGCCTAAATCCACACTTTGCTATATGCACAGCTTTGCTACAATTAATCTCTCTGTCCAGGGCCTTTATCTCCCCGTGTCTCCTTGCCCACATCCTTCAACATCAGTATTATTTATACCTATTTGGTGGACTAGCTAGTTTCTGAGGACGATATTTCTGATTTCATTGAGTTCCTTCTATAGATTCCTTTAAACATTGAGACTAAAACTTCTAAGACTTATTTCAACTGATTTCCAAAAGAGAGAAGTTGTTTAGTCAACTTAGAGCCAATTAATGAAAACTGGCTGCCTGGAAACTGTGCACAAATATACAGGGTAATAAACCTTGTCCTCCCCGTTTGTAACCTAACTCTGAAAGCCACAACCTGCCAATTCCCCAAGACCCTCAGGCTGACCTGGGGACCCTGCCCAGGACTCGGCCAGCAGCTGCCCCCTCGGCATATTCCGCACAGGGACGAGGTCTGGCTCTCCCTTCTCTGGGGCCTGAGTGCTGCTGGAAGCTTTCTCCCTTTCCTCTTTTACTTTACCAACAAAGGGCTTTGCTGATTATTTTCCTTAACAGAATTTCCTATTCTTTTTTTAAAAAAAAAACTAAACTGTATTACCCCTGTTATTCGTTTTAAATCAGGAATAAGCAGGAAAAGTCTGCCCCCTGGGTCTCAAACAAGAGATACTCGGTGAGGCATTCTCCCTCCATCTCCCAGTTTCTCTCTCTAGTGCCAGAGCTCCCTGTCATCCAAAGACCCAAAGGCCCAGTAGAGAAAGAGGACAGGCCCCCTGTAACGACAGAGCCCCAGTGATCTCGGCAGGGTTGCTGGATAGAATTTCCATCCTGCGCCAAAGACGGAACGGTAGCACAACTACAACAGCTGTTTTGTGATGAACAAAAATCAGTTGTAAACCAGGTATCAGAGTCCCCAACCTAAACAACCTTGAAAATGGCCCAGCCTCCTAATTACTCCCTACTGGGGTCTGGGAAGCATGGGTGCACGTGACAAGGGACACACCCCCTGCCTCATCTTTCAGAGTGTCTTTCTAGGAAACTGTCAGCTGCTTTATACATCATGTCACAGTTAAGAACATGGGCTCTCGAGCTAGACAGCCTGGGTTTGAATCTCAGCTTCAAGCTGTGTGACCTTGGGCAAGGGTATTTAACCTCTCTGTGTCTGTTTTTTCATCCAGAATATAGGACAATAATACCACCTATCCACAAGGTTGTTAGGAGGATTTAAATAAGTTAACATATGGAAAATCCTTAAAATTGTGCCTGGCACATGGTGAGTGTTCAGTAAAGGTTAGCTGTTACTATTTTTATTATTAGGCTCTTTGAAAAAGAAAAAAAGAGTGCTAGAAAAAACTGAAAAAAAGTACTAGCAATGAAGGAAGACATGAAAAATAATTTATGATTAGACAAAGAATACAAAATTGTTTTTATATGCTCAGCTTTGTAAGTTACATAGAAAAAATAAAGACTAGGAAGAAATATACTAAAATACATAAACAGTAATTGCCTCTGATTATTGGTAAGTTTTTTGATTTTTAAAACTTTGTATACTCTCCAAATATTCTATAATGTGCACACACTGTTGCATAATAAGGATGAAATTAAAATGCTACATTAGTGCCCAGGCCTTCCTAAGGGCTAGGCCGGGCGAGGCTGGGCGAGGCTATTCAGGGAAGTGTAGGGACGCTCCCCTTCAGGGGTATCAGGCATCTGGGGTGTTCCGTGGGCTATAAAGTCTCCTGCCATTTTCCAGTGTCAGCAACTCAATTCCTTTCGGCAAGCCAAGCCTTGATTAGAATTCTAAGGCTTCTCAAAAACTATGCTAGGTCCCTGCCTTCCAGGAAGGAGCTTCTGGAAAGTTGTTCTTCCTATTTTGGGGAGTAGGGAACCATCTGACAACCTGATGAAAGTCTTGGACCCTCTGCCCAAGAGTTCAGCCCCTGACACAGTTTCACACCCAATTTCAAGGTCCCCGTCCCTCTTCCCTCCCACGGTAGAGCAGCCCGGAATCATTCCTTCTGTCCAGCACGCCCTCCCCTGGTGCCACGAATTGATACACTCCTGCTCTATGGTGGGGGCCCATGTGCCCTCCTCTATGAGTCCTTTCCCAGCCCAACCACAATGAGCTGTAGTGGGAAGAACTCTGGCCTGGCATCAGGATATTGGGTTTGAGTTCTAGCTTTGAGACACACTGCCGTGGGACTCTACACAAGCAACAAAGCTCCTCTGAGATTCACCTTCAGCCAAAAAAATAATAATATCAACCTCAGCGGGAAGGTGTTAGGATTAAATACGATGAAGAATATAAATAGTCTTGATTTTGTTCTGTTGACTCCGCCCACTCAGAGCTCATCCCTCGGGTCATACTATTTAACAGATGCACTGAACACCTATGAGGGCACAGGCCTTTGCTAGGCCGACAGGGACAAACAGGGGGCTTAAGGAGCTCAGAGTCTAGTGGGAGATGAGCAGCTCAACAATGACTATGTGACACTTGCTCTAACAGAGGAGCAGCCAGCTGGGTGCCCTGGGAATGCAGAGGAGGGAGCCGCAGCAGCTGTGGGAGAAGCCTTCCCAGAGGAGATGGCGCTGAGCTGAGCCCGGGGGTTCAGTGCTTATGCGAAGGACAGGAGCAGGGAAGGGTGTTCCAGGCCGCGTGGACAGCATTGATCAGGGCTCAACATAGAGGCCGGGTGGGACTGTATTTGTTTGTTCCTCCACATATCCATGATAGAGGGCAGGCATCAATATTCACCCTGGAAGCAGGAGCCATGCCTCACAGAACACTGGCAGGTGGTACCAGCCTGTCTGAGCCCCTTGATGAAAGAATGAATAAGTGAGTGGATATTAGGAGGGTCTGAAAGTTATCATAGGTGAGAAACAGCTTTAATTGTACAGCTGTTTACATTTAATTCCAAAGTATTCTAGGCAAAAGGGAAAGTAATGTTCCTGTGCTACTGGAGAGCTGGGCTCGCTGCTTTTGGTGAGGAATTTCAGCCTCTGCTGAGCTGATTCCCCTGGTGCCGGGTCCTCAGCGCCATGGTTGAAGGCTTGTGCGCGTCATCTCCCTAGCAACTGTGGTTGAGGTTCTTCAGAATGATCTGCGTCTCCCTAGACCCTCTCCTGTTCCTGTTTTCACCACAGTGCCCCCTGGCCATACCCCTGGCACAGCAGTGGCCCAGTGTCACCACCAACACTCCCAGTGGGTGCCTCCTGCCCTCCTGGGGACGGAATCCATCTCTGACTCCCCAGGTGTAAATTTCCTTTCAAATTTCATTACAGCTGAAGACAGCCTCTGAGGGTGACTCTCACCTAATATAGCTTTGTTCGGCAGCCAAAGAACTTGGTCATCCCACACATGGGGTTGACAACACCTTTTTGAGCAATCATTTCCCACTGAGGAACTGAATTAGGAAGATCATAAATTCTCACACTCAAGGAACCGCACGGTTCTTAGGTCATACAAATATGTGTGTGGAGGGAAAGGGTTAGTTAATTGCCAATTGTAAAATCATGAATCCCCTAGACTCGAAAAGATGCATCTTCTTGAAGGAGCAGTCTACCTTTTATCTTCATCATCTAAGAAAGAAATAAGTCCAGTTTACATGACTATCAGCTCTCCTAAGATCTTTGCTGTGAAAGTAAATATATTGTCATTTTAAAATAAAATTTGGAGGTGATAGCTGAATCAGAATTCCCATTTGTTTTGCCAAACAAAACAATGTACTAAGCTAAAAAGGAAGAAAATTTTGATATCATAAGATTTGATTACTTGGGGGAAAGTTCCATATGAATTACATAAGTCAGACGTAAGCGAAACATATCTAAATGTTCTAGGACAAGCTTACCCTTATTGGACACTGAGCACATGCCAGGCACTGTTTTAAACGCTCTATACATGGAGTTCCTTTAATCTTAACAGACTCTCTCCTCCAATTTTAGATGAGGAAACTGAGGCACGGAGAGATTAAGTAACTATGTCACAGGCTAGAAAGGGTGAGGCTTGGATTAGAAGCCAGCTGACTCTGAAGAGTGTGCCCTTACCCACCATAACATACTGCCTGATGAATGCTTAAAGAAATGAACCATGCCCATTCTGTGAAATGTTCATGCAGACATTTTTAAAAATTATATTTTGGAGGAATATTTAGTGATGAGAAAATGCTCATAATATAGTGTTAAGTACAGGAACAAAACTGTATCCACATAATAGCATAATGGGTGTGTGTACATACATACACACTTAGACACGCACATGGGCACATGCACATTTCTAGCACATGCGAGAAAGTGACCCCTCATGTTAGCAGTGGTTATCACCTGGGTGAAGGAATTCCTAATGGTTTTAATTCACTTCATATTTGTTTTCTTTCCCCAAAATTCCCACCCTGAAATATTTTTTCACATATGAGAAAAACAGTATTTTAAATACTAGTTACAGATGTCTGCTGTTCAGAAAAACGCTTCCCTAAGAAGCCCCTGGATGTACCCAGGAGCGAGGGGGCGCGGTGAGACCCCAGCCGCCCCCGCCCCTCTCCCAGATGGGAAGAGCGGGCTCAGCAGGGCTCGCCCGGTCCCAGAGGCGCAGCCAGGTGTCCGCCCTCCTAGGCGATTAACCAATCCCGCGGGTCACAAGAGTTGCCATGGGGACCCCCGGCTCGCCGTCAACAGGCGGCAAGGGTGCGGGCTCCACTGCAACGAGGCGGCGCTCGCGAAGGGGTGGGCGTGTCTCGGGGTCCCCGCGGACCGCTCCCGGGGGGCAAGGACGGCGGGCAGCAGCTGCCCGAGGCACCGGGTCCGAGACGCGCCGCCGCCCGGGGGCCCTCCCGCCCGGCCTGCCCCGCTCTGGCTCACCTGCAGGGACATGGTACTGACACTCGCCGCGGCCGCACTCCTAGCGCTCGCTTCCCCAGACCCCACGACTCACCGCCTCTTAAAGGGCACCGCGCCCCCGCCCACCGGCTCCCATTGGCCGCGCTCGCGGGCCTCGCCGGCTCCCATTGGCCGTCGGTGCGGGGGGCGGGACTGGGCAGTGAGTGGCACCCGCCCTGCTCACAGCGCACGACTGTGTCCACCTGGCCCTCCCGACGGTTGCCAGCTGCCGGCGCCGCTGCGACTGGAAGGCGAGGAGCTGGGAATTTAAATGAGTTCCTCTCCGCTCTTGGCTCGTTCCTCTATTCTTTCTTGAGAGGTTGTTTGCAGGAAATCCAGGGCGGTCTCCCGAGGGCACAGACCTCACTTGGGATGCCTTTTTTATATATTCCTCTCTCCCGTCCATAATTCCTAGACACCTGGACGGTAGATGGTGTTTATTCAAACCTCTCTTGTGTCCCCATCATCTCTAAGCTCAGTTCATCAGGAATGAGAGAGGCTTGTAGTTTGCGTCTTTTCTCCTCTTTATAAAGCAAAAACACTTGCATTCTGAGCACGAGCTGCA